AACTCAATAACTCAATAGATAAATAAACAAATAACTAAAATAAACAAACACCAAACAAATCAAACAAAAAGGCGCTACAACAGTGCCCTCCAACAAGGCACACCCCCAATCAGCCAGGCGTCTTTAGGCAGCGCGGCCACCTCCTCCGACGAGGCCACGCTTTCGAGGAGTCGGTCCGCGAAAATCCTGGCGCGCGGCGGCGCGTCGGTTCTTCGGGCGCGCTGAAACGGGCCGTCGGGTTTTTTCCCCGGCTCGAGCTTGCGCCCTGGGAGAAAGTGCAAAAATCTGTCCAAGAATGATACATCCCCTTTCAAGCCAACAGGGGAAGATAAGGCGAATTAAGCAAATGGAAGCGCGCACAGCCCTCCCCCTGCTGGCCTGCAGTGGCACTCCCGGACCTTGGCTTCGGCGAGCTTCTGGTAGGTGCCTGGGGCGTGCAGGGGAGTCGCCTTGGTGCGTGGTGCTGGGTTTGGCGTCCCTTTCCTTCTGGCGGACTGCACGCTGCTTCTGTTTGCGGGCCGTTTGCTTTGGTAGTTTGTAGTGGTGGCGTTGCAAGCGATCCAAAGCCTCCCAGCCTCAATTCCAGCCAACATGCAGCCCACAAAACACGAGCAGAACCACGCAAGAAGCAGCGGCTCTTTCCTTCCAACGTCCCTTAAAGCCGCCCAACATCCCTCAAGCTCCAACTCCTTTTTCTTCTCCGCCCCCCACCCGGCGGGCCGCGCCTGCTTCGTCCCAGGTGAAGAAAGGATACTCCCAGGCCATTTCTGCCACCTTTCTCACCACAGAGTCGTAGGACATGGGCGAGGCCAGGCGGGCGGTGTGCTGCAGGTTGTACCAACTCTCATCCCCCCAGTTCTCCTTGGTGTCCGAGGTGCCAAAAAAAAAACATGGCGAAACCAAGGCCTCTTCGGTCATACCCAACATCAAGGCTCCAGAATAAAATAAGTTAACTAAGAAAGCCTTCAACGAGGAAAGACGTGTAGTTCGATTCTTGAATGGGGGTCTGGTCAAAGGGTGAGTGTGCGGGGAAGCCTCTGAAACGATGGAGCTTTGCCTGAGGACGTCCAAACTTTGCGAGGTGCCAAGATCTCGCGCCGAGCGGCCGCGTGCAACTGCCATGCCTTCTTGATCTCAACCTCCCAAGGCCGGCTTGACGCTTGCCGCCTCCCTCCAAAGCCCCGGAAACTCCGAAAACGCCGCCCATGGCGCACTCCAGGAATCAGACTATTAGATGCACAAACCAAAAAAAAAAAAACAGCGCCAGCTGCTCCCTGCCCAGCCCCATCGCCATCCCCTCCCAACCCTCCCAATACTACAACACACTTTACAAATGTGTGTGTGACCCTGGCGCATGGCCGTTGAAGAGCGAGAGGCTTCCCTGTCACCCAGTAGTTGGAAAGTTCACCCCCCACCTGCCCCGCCTGGGAGTAGTCGAACTCCTCCTGCGCCCCACGCAACCTCCGCCCCAAAGAGCCGAAGCTCACCTCCACCCCGCCCGCGCTCGTCGAACCATCCTCCACCTCCGGTAGGAAGAGCACCTGAGAGGCCGCCGCGGAGGGGCGGAGAAGCTTTCTGGGCGGATCCCGGAAGCTCAGGGCCGGCCATGGGGGGGTGACCGGAAAAAACAAAAAGCTCAGGTGATATTCCAGCATGCGGCGCTCTTTTAGTGCTCGCACCACCCCGCAGCCCTCGCAGAACCTCGTGGCCCTGGTGGAACCCTGGTGGAACCCTGGTGGAACCCTGGTATCTGGGCTGAGACCCCAAAGCTTTCAGCTGTTGGGGAATTATATATATATAACAAGGGGCCGGCTATTCGGGATTTGCGGGTTGAGCTCGCCAAGTTGATGGGCTGAGTGGCAAGCGCGGCGCTCAATCTCTGGAATTCCCTGGAAATGGAAACCTCAAGTCAGGAAGTGGGATGAGCGGACCGGGTCCCAAGCACCGCATCTATTTTGGAGTATTCTTGCACCAAGTTCATGCCCAATTCGCGGCACCGCATGCCTTGGCAGACCCGCCCGAGTGCAGAGAAACCAGTGTACACACAGGGCTCCTTATCCGTCCCCAGTTTCCATTCATCTCCCCAAGCCTTTGAGGCTGCCGGAAAAAACAAACACGGCCTTCTGGTGGGTAGCGCGTTCGCTGGGAGATTCGTGAGCCCCATGAGAACAAACCCACACAAGCGTAGCTCCAAGGGGATGCTTTAGCCAGCCCCCCCCCCCAACCCTTTAAAACACACACACACACACACACACACACACCGAAGAAAAATGGCCCGCCCTTGCGATCGATCGCGCAAGTGCCTTGCTGTGCCAGTAGTGCACGCCGCCCTGCCAGTAGTCAATGCCGCCAGTGTCCACCAATCGGATCTTCTCGTACCTAATCGCTGGACTGCTCGTTCCGCTTGAGCAAAAGGTCTAACCTTTTGTAGGTTTTATGCTTGGGTGCTTAACTTGTTGCTGGTTAAAAAGAAATATGCGGGGAATCCAACAAGTTAAAGTCAACAGCAGCAGAATGGAAACGCAACTTGTTTCCAGAAGATTTGAGTGGCGAAGGTCACACCCACCAAAGACCAGCCATGATAGAAGGAGCTAAAGGATTAGAAGGGGTGTGGGGTCCCGTGACGCTAAATAACTTATTCAGCCTCATGTTCTCCGGGCCATTGTGAACCAAGATCAGCCCAAACGGGACCGTTCACCCCCCACCCGCCGGTGGCTTGCCAACTCCCTCTGACAGCACCCATGGCACCCTGAGGTTCCCGGCACAGTCTGAGACCAGTCCGGCAGATTCGCGACGTAGAGCTTGGAGGGGTGGTTTGGAAACTCGAAGGTGAACCACTGTTGGTCGTTGTAGAATTGGACCCCCTGTCTCGGCGGCGGCTTGGCTCCTCTTCTCTCTCTCTCCGCTCCCTCCCTCTCTCTGCTCCCTCCCTCTCTCCCTCCCTCCCCCCCTCTCCCTCTCCCTCCCTCTCCCTCCCTCCCTCCCTCTCTCCATCTCTCCCTCTCTCCCGCTCCCTCCCTGTCCAAGCTCCCCGCCTGGTACCTGTACCCCAGCTGCCCCAGCCACGGCGGCGGCGACGCCGGCGCCATGGAGCAGAAGACGCTCGCGCTACCACCCGACCGCTGAGCCCAAGCCGCTGAGCACCAGAGAACCCTTCCTCGTCTAACACGTGTTTTTCTTGCGACCTGTCCAGGTGACGCGAGAAAACCGCCCCCCCCCCCCCCACCCCAGAAAACACCACCTCCAACCCCACTTCCCCAACCCCCCCGCCAAGGCGTGTTTCTTCTTTGGGCTCCAAAACCAGCCGACCGGCTCTCCAACACCGTTCAACCCCCCGGACCTGGTTCTTCTTATTTCCACTCTGAGGTTGTGCTGGTGTGCAAATTCATCGCCCTGCCTTTCGCTCTCTGGGGGTCTCTACTAGTGTGTGGCTTCTCCTGTGCTGAGGGGGGCCCGCCCAACAAGACGACCTCCAGTCCCAGGCCCCCAGCCCCGGAAGGTTCTGTTGACCCAGGATGAAACCCGTGCCATTCGCTTTTTTTTGGGGGGGTGGAGACCCCTTCCAACAGTGGTCTGAATCCAACCACTAAAAGGGGACTCCTATGGATCAATGAGGGGCTTAAAAAATCCGGGATTAACATCTGGGATTGTCGAGTCGAGTCCCAGGCCGCCAGACTCCCCGCCCCCCCCCCCCCCTCCCCTCCCCGCGCCGACCGAGGTGCCCGTGACCTCCGCCCGCTCCGCGCGCTGCTCCTCGCTGTGCCGCTCCTTCCGCCGCAGCTCCGCCGCCGCCAGGGCGCCCAGGCCCTCTGAGGAGGGGGGAGGGGGTGGGGGTGGGGGGGGAGGAGGAGGAGGAGGAGGAGGAGGAGGAGGAGGAGGAGGAGGAGGAGGAGGAGGAGGAGGAGGAGGAGGAGGAGGAGGAGGAGCTGGGTGGTGCGAGAAGAAAATTGCTTTTGAGGAGTTGGCCTTTAAGCATTTCGTTTGATAGTTCTAGATTGAGTCATTCATCTTTCGTGGTTAGTAAAGCTTTAGCCAAAAGATTCCACCAGTTCGAGAAGCCAACACTGTGGAAATGGCTGGGCCGGTCTGGCAAAAGGATGTCTCAACCAAAGAAGGCCCAAAACGACAGGCCACCAGTGGAGAAATGGATGGTCTGCACCCATGGATGGGTGAATAGAAGAGGCAAGAAAAACCATACCCAGATCCGAGGTACCCGTATAGGTAACCAGCCATCGTCCTTTTGGGTTTTAGAGGCGGGTTTCCCCTTGGGATACCTACAAAACCGGGCACATGGATCCGCAAAAGGGCCAAACCGACAGCCTACGAGGATGCCAGTTGCGCCTCTGAAGTGAACTAAGCACAACCCAAACAAACAGTCCCGACCAACCATAACCATCCGAAACCAGGCAGACAGACAGACAAACAAACAAACAAACAAACAAAGGAAGAAAGAAGGAAAGAAAGAAAGAAAGAAAGAAAGAAAGAAAGAAAGAAAGAAAGAAACAAACAAACAAACAAACAAGGGAAGCAAGGAAGCCAGGAAGCAAAGAAACAAGGAAGCAAGCAAGCACACAAGCAAGCAAGCAAGCAAGCAGGCAAGCAGGCAAGCACAGAAGAAGCTAGCAAGGAAGCAACGCAAGCAAGTGAGCAAACAAACACGCCAACAACAAGATCCCCAACACAAAATCCACAACCCCGGAAATCGAAGAACAAAAAACCTGCCACGGGTCTGCGTTTTCAGAAACAGCCGCTCGCATCGGGTTGTCTGTCTTTGTTTCTGTGTGCTTGGGTTATCTTGTTTGGGAATCTGTTCCATACTCGTTGCCGGCAAGGAGACAATCCGTATCACAGAAAACTTGCTGATCATCGCCCCCATGTGCGGGGAGAGTTGATAGTTACATACCAGTTATGAATACTCATGACTGGTCCTTGGGGAAAAAACAGCAGCACTAGGGAGAAGCAAAGAATGCATCTTGAGCCAAGGAGTCGGGAGCCAGAAGGGAAGGGAAGAAGCGGGAGGAAGTTGGACTCTTTGAGCTGGTGGCTGCGTTAGCACTCAGGCAGCCCTAGCCTTTGGGGTGCTGGGTGATTAACGCATGAAGGGCTTCCGGTGGGTAGGGCCTCGCCATGCCGCAAAGCCTCTTTTGCCACCATGTCATGTGGGTTCTCGTGCTTGAGTCGCGGTGCAACATAGCTTCGCCGCAAAGCGGGGTCTGCACCAAATAGACTCGGAAAGACTCATAGGAGTAGTCAACTGGTGTGAAAGCTGCCTTCAGGTTCCCGATATTCCCGGAACTGGCACCAATCCAAACCACACACTGCAAGGAAGCTGATGATTGCTCCCTGTTGGCTTCCCTACATCCAACAAAGATCCTCATTGGACATAAACCCGTGGAACCTGGCAGCCCATCTGGAGTCGCTCAGGCGGAAAATCGCGAAACTTCGCCCCGCGCACATTCGCTGAGCTGCCACCGTGCGGGGCTATGAACTTTGGGGAAGACCCTGTAGACTTGCAGCGAGGTTTTGGCCCATCCAGGTTCGCAGCCACATGGCACAGCATTTCAAAGGCCCACCGGGTTGCTACACTCCCTCAGGCTAACATGGAAGCTCCCAGAAGGCCTTACATGGAACCAAGTCTTCCACAGGGGTCCTGGGAACTTCCATGTTTGGGGGTTGCTAGGCCCCGAAGCCCCGAAGAAAGCAAGTCCCAACTCCCGGACCGCGGGGTGGTCCTTTTTCCCTCTCGGGGCCCACAAGCATCCACGGGGTACATCCGACTCCCAAAGTCACAGCTTGCGTCCCCCAAAACCCTGGCGGCAAAATTAAAACAGATCCAGGTTTTTCAGGGGCCACCCTCTTCACTCCAAATACTCTGGAGTGTGAGAAAGCTAGGACCTGGGTGCTGGCGGAGGCTCAGGACACAAAACCTCCCGCCGGCTCGAGCCGCGCTCGCTCACGCGCTCGGCGATGCAGGCCAGATCCCGCATATGCCTCGGAAGCGCGGGAATTGAATTTACGTGTGGCCACGGATCAAAAGGGGCTGGCCAGGTTCTCAAATGCAAAAGTTGGTCGATCTTCAATGCCGAGGGCAAATCCTTGAGCCTAGAACAAGCTGTCAACCTGAAATAAGGTGGTTGGGGGCCCTATTCCCCAACTAAACCACCATGTGGGGCGTGAAACCACCCAAATGACTTTCACCAATTTCTGTGGAAACCTACCCGTGGTCATTTGGGGACCAGGAATGTTGCTCAACCCCAGCACCTTAAACCGCCGTGCCTACGATTGGGTCCTTGCTCCTGTTGCGAAAATTGAAGGCATCCCTGACAGGTGAAAAAACGTGGGATAAGCCCCCCTCCATGTAGTCTTTCCTTTGTGCCCGCAAAAGGTCATGGAAACGGTACCTTTATCACGGTCTTCGTGGGCAAGGGGGGGCTCAGCTAACCTCAGGCACAAGATTGCTGCTTGCAGGGTCTCAGTGGGGAGGAAAGGCCTGTCGCTATTCTTACAAAGGCCAAAACCGCGCCCAAACCCAACGCACCCTTCGCAACAAACCATCCAAACCCAAGCTGCCCTCCCTGCCTCTCCGAGGTCTCCTGGGCAAAATCCTGGAAGTGGAGCCGCAGCTTGGACCCAGCGTGAGACGTGTGGACAGACACCTTCACCTTTCCGGCCGCGAATCCCCACGCAAACCGACGGATCTTAGACAGTCCTCTTAAAAGGGCCCTCGAGTTGCCCCACTTCCATTGCCCCCCCTTTTTTTGTTCAACCGGGGTTAAGCCAAATTCATGTCTGAACATGAACTTCACTTGGCCAGAGGGCGCATCATTTTTAGGATTCGCTGTTCTCCTTTGACAACCAACAAAAAACAAAAAACAAACACAAAAACAAAATCGCGGCAGCCACCCAAGAGCCCTCGTCCCCATCGTCCCCAACGCCCGGCTCGCCTTCTGCGCCAAGAGGTACCCGGAGCTTCCGGGGTAGCGCAGGCGCACGTTGGAGAGTGTCTTGGGCTTCACCTTCGCGGAGAAGATCTGCGCCAGGTTCCTTGGTGCATTTGCCTGGGGTGCCTTGCCAAGCGCCGCCCAAAAGGAAATCAAGAGGAAAGCCAGCTCATTTTCGCGAAGGCGAGCAGTGGGAGAAATATTCCTGTTCTCTTGGAATAGGAAGCCACCATCTAAAAGCTCAGATCTAAGATCAACAGGTTCAATTGATTCCCACCCTCGTATATTTCCCTACTCTCAAAGCAGCCATTTGCTGTGCTTTCCCCGTCCTCCAGCCCAACCCCGCGTGCCAAAAAAAATAAAAAAGCCGCCGGGTCTCTCCCGGATCGTCTCCCAGTCCGTGGGCCGCACCAGCTTCCGCAGGGTGGGCGTCTCTGCCACACTCTTGAAGCTGAGGTGCGCCTGCTCCACCTCTCACAAACAGAACCCGGCGCAACAAGCTGACTCCCTCCTGTTGGCGACTGGTGCTACTGTGGGTGGACGAGATTCCCCACCACCCAGACAAGGATTTCGTCCACACAAGGGCAACACACATCATCACGAAAAGCCAAAGGCTTGCTAGTTCCCAGCAGGCAAAATAAAGGAATGACTCCCTTTGCACTCGTCACCTTGTGGGTTCCTCTTAAGGGAACCCAACAAAACAAGGAACCTCACCCCTGTTCTGCGTTTTGCAAATCACTGGTCTTCTGGAAATCACTTCTCACACATGTGACATTGTGGCTCACGGCCCTTCTTTCAAAAATATGGCGGGGCGTTCATTGCACCCACCATAGTAAACTGAAATTTGCTCCGTGCGTACCAGTCGCCACGAACAAGGGACAAGCTTGACCAAAGGCAGAAGGAGTGGCACTCCTACAACCAACCGGGCTACAACAAAACCTACAATGATAGAGGTCAGGAAAGACTACAGAAAGAGCTGGATTGAGGGATATTCATCCGAGAGTAGCTACAGCAAGAGCTACTATTACCACGGGCAGCGGCGCTGAAGGCCAACAACTATGATCCGTTTCCTCAAGCGATGATCAAGAACCACATTCGCAACCACCGACGGCACGACGATACTGCCAAGAATTGACATCCCCGCGAGATCAGTTCTTGTTGACTTCTTGAGGCACGATGTTGCATATTACATGCGTGAAAAATTTTCGCCAGAAGGTCAGTTGTCTGCAACAGACACACATTTCTTTTGACCTTTGGCATCAAACTGTTATCTCAAGGCTCTATACAATAGCCATATTTTTTAATGTGCTGTAGCCATTGCGAAAGCGAATTAGACCGATTTCGAAGATGATCAAATAGTCACTTTTGGCTGTGCCCCGGACATTGTCTCGTATCTGTTGCAACGGCATTCGAATTCGCAAGCAGAGGACAGCAAGCAAAAGCTGACACCTAATCGTGTCAAAATGGCTCTGCGTCTTCTGGGCCGTGAAAAAATGCATTGACTTGAAAAACAAGGTCGAGGTGTCCTAGCGCGAAACTTTCGACGCACTCGCTTCAGAAACTCACCTTGAAAATTAGTGGCCCCTGACTCTTGCCTCATAGTGCGCCGTGTTCATGTTGAGCATCAGCCTCCCAGCATGCTGTGTTTCGTTTTGAGTCCGAGCCACGCGATTGCCTGCGACTCCCACATCATTTTGGTGCAGGGGGCTGTGGGAAATGACCACTTCTGTGACAAGGGCCTCCCAAAGACTAACTAACCAAGAGGGGATTCCCTTGTGTCATAGAAGTGGGGATAAACCCCTTGATCCCACAACCCTGTATTTTACTGGGCAGAAACATAAGACCTTGCAAAACCTCGACATTAAAGGAAAACTCAATCCCCCACCCCTCCTATTCTTCGATTGAAAGCCACGAACCCGAATGCAGAAATACGCAACCCCAAAGCACTCCCAAGAACATCATGACTAGAAAGACACCCTATCAGAAGCAGTCCACAAAAACAGTCTTCAGCACTGGTCCAAAACCATCCGCAAAGATATCCTCGCGAACATAACAAAACGATCCCAAAGACATGCCCTAAAGCATATCCGATGACATCCCCGCAGGCGCCCCAACATAGACCCAAAGTCAGCCCCAAAGACATCCCCAAGTTCCCAAAAAGCACTGCGGAAGACGTTCCCAAAGAATGTCCAAAGATATGTCACAGAGACAAAAGCCACCCGAGAAGACACAGCGCAACGACGTCCTCCAAAGACAATCCAGCAAAGAAATCGCAAACGACATTTTCCGCGACACTCCCCAAGACATCTTCCGAAAGACGCCCCGGAGATACCCGCAATGACAAACCAAGAACTTCCCTGAAGACACCCCGAAGGAATACCGCTCAGATGTCCCGAAAGCATCCCAAAGGCATCCCCATCTTTGAAGACCACCCCTCATCACCCCTCAGAGACATTCCCCCAAGTCAAGACATCACCAAGTCCATTGAAAAAATGAAAGGCTCCCAAAACACCCTCGGAGCCCCCAAAGACCCTTGAAAGACATCATTCAAGACGACCGCAGAAGACATCCACAAAGACATCGCCAAACATCCCCCAAGAATCTACCAAGACTTTTCCCTACCTTGCCCAGAAATTGACCCCCCCCCCCCCAAAAAAAAAAAAAAAGCTCGTACTCTTCCTTTCCAAAAAAATACACTGGGGGGGGGGGCGATTTTCGGGTTGCGGGACCCGGCCCAGACCAGACTGCCCCCTTCGGCCCTTCGGAACGCGCTCGGCTCCCAAGGGGCGTCATCTCCTCCAAAGGCCCGGAGCGACACCGGGACCGGGAGCTCCGGGAGCTCCCCGAGCTGCGGCAGCGGCCCTTGGCCCTCGGCGAAAAGCGCGAGGCCAATGGCCGAGGCGCGGAAAGCACGAGGCAAGGATCCTGACATCTGGGTGGACGACATTTCGCGCTACTTTTTGAGAAACCCTTTTCAGGACGTTTTGGAAACCATGGTTTTAATTCCATTGTTGGTATGCTCAGGGGAAACATCAGTCCAGAATTTTGTAGGTGATGCAGGATTTCGTCCATCCACCGTACCCCCCCCCCTTTTCGTCTTCGGCGGTTTGGCGTTCATACTTCGAGTTTCTTGGTCATACTGCACCCTTTCTCCGTCGGCGTGTCACTCCTTCTGCAGCCAGCGGTGCTTCTGTCCAGTGAGTCGTGACATTGCCCGATGAGGTTGTTTTGGGGAGGGAGGTACCTGAAATTGACTGCATCGTATTTCCCCTGCTTTGGCCATCCCGAGCCCTCTCTCATCCGATCACATCCGAGCCCTCTCTCAAACCCATCTCAATTTGCTTTCCCATTGGTGCCAAGCCAGACACACTAGGTGGGCCTAACTGACCGCTGCAAAAGGTTGAAAGTCCAGTTTACAAGTTTGTGGCAAAACCATCATTGTCAGGGCCGAACCAAAGACCAAGAAGAAATCTCCCGGCAACGTAGTCATGCAACTCCCTTTCAGTGAGGGCCAAGGGGCCACTTCTGGAATGGATGGTGCCATCAAACAGCCCGAACGCTTGGTTTCTCACTAAATCTCCGAATGTTGGTGGTGTTTGTTTTTTTGGGGGGGGGACTTGAAGTCGTTGCATTTTTGAGCAGTGCGCGAACAAATTCCTTTGCGGTACCCTGTAAAACCGATCATTTGGAGTTTGCCGGGAGGATGTTTTAGTCCTCGCTGCCACGTCTCTTTCTTTTTTCTTCTTCTCCAAAAGTGGTTGAACAAATGCACCAACCATTGCCGCTGGCCCTGTCTTTTTCATTGAACACTTTGGCAAGTGCTACCCCTTTGCAAATTCACATGGAACCTTCTCAGGTTTCCTCTCAACACATTTTTTTTGGCTGCTCTGCCAGAAAGCCAGGAGGCCATGGGGCGCACCATGCTAGAGCTCATGCCGAAGCAATAATTCCTTCACCGGTATGTTCACTTCAAGCGGGGGGGGGGATCCAGAGTCACGCTGATTCGTGATGAACAAAGCTCCTTTCGAAAGCTCCCCAAAAAATTCAACCAAGAAAAACACACCAACCAAAAAAAACACCAACTGGTTTAACCCCCCCCAAAAAAAAACGGTTCTTCCGCTCGAGGCGCTTCCGCGTGCCGAGGTCTAACGGCACCGGCTCGACTTCCGGGAGGTTGGCCTGGAGTCGATTTCTCGGGGCAGCGGATGTGTGACACCCGGTCGGACCCAAAAAAAATCCGACCACCGGTGAATTGGGTTGGGGTACATTACCGGGGAAACAGGGATCCGGATTGCAACTTGTAAATGGTGGGTTTCCAACTTTATTTTGGTGGAAAAAGCCACATGTTTCAAATGGTTGCAAAAGGTATCTTTTAAGGAGCCCTGTTTTTCGGGGCGGCAGATGTGTGACACCCGGTCTGACCAAATTCCTCATCGGTGAATTGGTTGGGTTGGGGTACCCAGTCGGACAAAAAAACTCCTCACGCTGGGGTGGGGGGGAGGGGGGGACTTGGAACTTCTTTCTGGTGGGGGGGGGGGTCAACAAAGATCAAGCATGGTGAAGTCAGGATTGAGGAACTGAAAGACCATGTGCACCGCCTTTCATCAAAACGACGCTAGGCAAGTCCCCGGCCCCTGAAAAAACTGGAGCAACCCCCCTCTGAGAAAAAAAAAAAAAGAACAAAAAAAGAAACCTCAACAGGCAACCCATCTCTTCCAAGCACCGCAGACTTGCATGTATTGCGGGGGCAATGGCAGCTACAGGTCCAAAGGACACCCCTTCAAAAAAAAAAAAAAGTGAAGCAAGCCCCCCGCAACAAAAGTTGCCGTCGTTCCACCCAGAAAAGTGCACATCTATGACAAGACCAGTGTCCTCTTGAAACGGCACGTTAACCACGCCCCCACGGTTGGTGTTGAGTCCCCGTTTTGCCGGGCCAAAATGCTGCAAGGGCCAAATTTGTGCATACTGCCTCGCACCATCTGCTTCGAATCCCAGTGTCGAAAGATTGAACTTGTATTTTGGCTAGCCACCGTTGGACAAAGACGAAGAAGCTTGGTTCCTGTTTCAACTTTTGTGGGTCCAATGGAAAATCCGACCCGTTTCAACCAACAACGTTAAAATCCAAAGATCCGGCCAAACAGTCACAAACGACAAAGCTTGGACACTTTAGCTTCCTTCGCAGCTTTATCCCACCCACACCTATCCTCCCCCCCTTTTCCCCCTCCATTTTCCACCTCCACCCCCACCCACCCCCCCCCACCCCCCCAACCACCCACCCCCCCCCCCAGCCCACGTGTCCTCGGAGTCCTCCTTGAGTGCCAGCAAGTGGTAAGGGTGCTCCGCGCCCATCAGCCCGGCCACGGGCACGCGGAAGACGTCCGCGCTCACCCGGGTGTCCATGGACCCGCGCAGAGACACGCGCAGGCAGGGCGGGGCCGCCTGCGCGTCTCAGGTGAGTCGACCGTGCACCAGATGTGTGCGTACAGATCTACATTTGTCATATTCATATATACTTATGTTTCTTTTGTTTTTACATATGTACATACGTGTGTGCATGTATGTGTATGATATATCTATATGATGTGTGCTTGTGTGCGTGCATGCGTGTGTACACGTATATTTGCATATAGATAAATATAGACATATTGATATATATATATATATATTCATGGTCAGGCCTTCCCCCCCATGAACTGCCTTTCCTTCTTTCGTCATAAAATGACTGTATATATATATATATATATATGCATGTGTGTGTGTGCTAAAACCACTCGTCTAAGTCACCAGCTCCTCCTTCCCCAGGCCATCTCGCACGGTCTCATCCTACGACCCACCAACACGGAACCGTCCAGTTGGCCCGGATGACACCTACCCACCCACTGGGGGTGGATCAAACAAGTCTCCTGTTGTGTTTTGTTTTTTATCCCTCTCCTGTTTTTGTTGTTTGTTTGTTTTTCCCTCCCCCGGCGTGGAGTAAAGCCTCCGAAGCTCTTCACCTCCACCACCCCTCTCCCGGCCTGCGTCTCACCCGCTTTGGCCTCAAGAAAGGCTCGGAACCGCTCCTGGAGCGGAGTCGGAGGGGGTTGATCCATACTCCCTTTAGGGCCCCCCAATTCTGGCCATGCGTAACTTGTCCCACGTGGTTGAAATATCATCTTTTTTGCGGTTTTCCCCAATGGTTATCCCATGGAAAGGACCTTTTGCTCGACCCCCCCCTCCAATCTCTCACACCGCACTTTGAATTGGCCCAGGAGATTTGTTTTTCCAACCAACCTTTGGATGTCCTCTTGGTGAAGAACCTCAACCCAAAAGGCCTCACCCAACCCAAGACTCCCCCTGAGAATGAAGACTCAACAGGACTCGGTGCAGGGAAACTCCTTGAGTGGGAGAGCCCGGGGTGATGGTCTTTTTCGAGGGCCCTCGGGTTTCTTGGGAGGGCTGAAAAAAGGGAAACCGCGCAGCTGACACACCGAAGCCATTTGGGGCACCCAACCTGAAAGCGATTGGCCACCATAGCCGGGGCCTGGTGAAAGGGTCCAATAGGCCAAGCTCTGAACCTCAAGAAAAAAACCCACGGCCCAACTTTTTCGAAACCAGCGGAAAAATCTTGGGCGTCTCTCAAAAGGGAACCCTTGAAATGGGCGCTTGTCCCTCAAAACCAACCAAAAGGCTCCCCCCACCCCAAGAAAAAAGCAAGGAGACGCGAAAAACGCCCACACATGGGGAACCCCCTTTTCTTCCTTTCCCGGCTTATTCCTCCAAACCTCCCGCGAACCTCGGGCGTTTTCTCGGGCTTTCCTGCTCGCTGGGGGCCAGCAGCTCCGTGAAGTCGCGGCCCTGCATGGTGGTGCTGCTGAAGAGCAAATGCTTCAGGCAGTGGGCCTCCCCCTGGATCCTGCGCCCCAAGGAGATGTTCTGCTCTCTACGTCTCTCAAATCTTTAGAGGGAGACTTGGTACCCGCTGTTCTTCTTGCTATTGTGCTGTGAAGGGGGAAGGGGGGCCAGTCAGCTTTGGAGTTGGGTGTGAAACTGTTCGTCGTCGTCGTCGTCGTCGTCGTCGTCGTCGTCGTTGTTGTGTTTTAGTTCTTACAGTAAGTGGGAGATCAAGAGGAAAACCACATGTGTGGTTTTTTGTGTGTGTTGTGTTTGATTCAGTTACTCTTCTCGGTGTTTTTTGGCAGGGGGCGGGATCCCTACACAAGGCACACCCAGGCGGGGAATCCCTTCTCTACGTGTCCCCAAAATGGACCAAACGGAAAGGGACGTGTAAGAACCGAATCCTGGCCTCAAACAGCACCGAAACGCTGGTGGCATGTGGGTATGTATCAAATAGCGGGGGCCGAAAAGGGGAGGGGGTCCTTTCAGGGCTTCCCTTTAAACCAAAACCTCCCACACCCAGGTGTTGGTCCATTTCTCTCATCTCAAACTCACTTCAGAAGGCTCCTGTTCAGAACACTGGGCTGTTCAAGCTGGGGTAGTCCAACTTTCCAATTTTCACATTAGGTAAAGGCTAAGCGTTTCACGTAACAGCATTCAGGATTACCTCTTACGATTCAGGTCCAAATATTAATTAAACGGATGCGCGGAAAGGGCAAAAAAAAACATGCTTTGCCTGCCAGGGAAAAAAACTTCCAGACGCAATTGCGGGAAAAAAAATCGGGCGGTCCTCAGGTTGCTGTCCAGCAGCAGGTCCCCGTCGCAAAGGCCCCGCAGCATCCGCCGGAAGCTGGCCACCATGCTCTCGGCGTCCGCCGAGTCCAGCATGGCCTGGAGACGTCGATAAGGGGGCCGCGGGTCAAAACTCGGTGCCCTCCCTCCCAGGTTTTCATGGCACCGGACGTTCCGGACCCGGCCCCTAGAGGAAACTGATCTTCCAGGTACCCTCCCTCAGGTGCCATGTGAGCGGGAGGAAGGGTACCCAAAATGGGATCATAAACAAAACCAAAAACTAAACCTGCGGTCCCCTGGTGGTTGAATTTTCCCTTTTCCCATACCCATTTGTCTGCGCTTAGAGCCTTTTGTAGTAACACCCGTGTGTCGTTTTGACATGCGTGTCACTGCGTGTCTATTACACAGGGGAAGAGCGGGTGAAATCCACAAGCGCATCCAAGCCATTTTCCAGATGTTCGCATCTGTTCCAGATTCAGCGGCATCTCCAAACGTGTCGGCCATGATCTCTGGGAACATGCAACCCAACGTGTTTTCGTCAACCCCAAGCCCTTAGCTGTTGGCTTGTGGGAAACAAAAACTTTGGGGGACAAAAAACGAGTAGAGTGCAGCTGCTCTCTCTCTCTCTCTCTCTCTCTCTCTCTCTCTCTTGTCAAATATCATGTTGCACTACTTGTCACTTGTGCATGCATGATGTACACTACCCGACTGCAGGCCTTGAGTCTACCAGGAAAAGAGTGCATGCTGGCTGACTACATTGTGTTTGTGATAACTGAACAACACTTGCACTAGAAGTAAAGTATCAACGTATTTTAACGTGGTAGCGGAGCTGAGATCCTAAACATAGGGGAGCTCCAGTAACAGCAGTAAGTACTACAACTGCACAGGCAACCAACATGCCCAACTACTACGACATGTCAGGAGAACCAGCAGCAGCATCAGCACAACCAACTACAGGAGCAGACAACGGGCCCACAGCAGAAGAGACAATAGGAGCCACAACTACGGGAACAACACAGGAGCAGGAAGACGTCCAAAGGCTACACAAATACAAACTGCCACCACCATTCTTCACTGGTGACTACTCACAGTATGAAGAGTGGCTGTTCAAACTACAAGCATATCTCGGACTTATCGACCGAGACTTCGACATGGTGCTACAACTAGCACAAGCAGCTACAAGACAAATTGAAGATGCAGACATCAGAGCACACATACGCGACCCTACACAGGCAGCAAAAGCAGTAGACCTCTCACGAGATCTACACTACATCCTCATCAACATCTGCCAAGGAGCAGCAGCTACAGTGGTTAGACAAAACCGCTACAATGCCAATGGATGTGAAGCACTACGGCTTTTGCACAACAGGTTCAGCCTACCAGTAGGAACACGCAGTGTTGGCTACCTCACCAAACTACTGGAACCTACATTCAATGAAGCACAATTTGAAGAACAATTCCTACAGTGGGAATACGACATCAACCGCTACGAGAAAGACAACGGCACAGCACTACCAGATGGAGTAAAGATTGCAATACTACTCAACAAGACCAAAGGAGCACTCCAACAGCATCTCCAACTACGTGCTGGACAGATCACGAACTACAACGAGATCAGAGTTGTCATCCTGGACTACTACAATCTCTGCATTCTCAAGAGCGAGCTCAGCAGTTGGCACAAACTACAATGGTGGGACAGCACCGATGGACGTGGACAACATTTGGAGAAAAGGAAGAAACTACAAAGGCAAAGGCAAATATGGAGGCAAAGGACACTACAAAGGAAACAAAGGAAAAGGTAAGTACAGAAGCAAAGGCCACTACAAAGAATTCGACAAAGGCAGCAAAGGAAACTACAACAAAGGAGGATACAACAAGAACAAAGGAAAAGGCTACTCAGGATCCAAAGGACATGGATCAAGCAAAGGCTACAAAGGCCAAGGAAACTACAGCAAATCAAAAGGAAAAGGAAACAACAATTACACAACATGCCATCGATGTGGCAAACCAGGCCACTGGGCACAAGACTGCAGAGTGCCAGTATGGCACATAGGAGAAGGAGAAGAACACATCCACTAGAACAAGAACAAGCAGATCACGACAACAATGAAGAACTACCTCAGGATGTGAACGACACTTGGGACTGGTACTACGAAGGAGAAGAAGGACAACACGAGGTGAACTACATGGAAGAGAACTGGAACGACTACGACTATGACAACAGCTGGGATTGGAATGACGACAGCTATGAGGACACTGCAAACTAGATTGGAGGCATCAACAAGTCACACCTCACAAGTGGACACATCAGACAAGCAAACTCACGACTACACAAGCACAAATCCAAATCACTACTTGGCAAGAGAACAACACACACAACATCATGGAACGACCACAGCAAGAGCTTTCAACAATTCCTACAAGAAGACAACACACAGCCACACTTTGATATAGCAGCAGCCAGACAACAACAAAGGAACAAGAAGATTGAGAACACTATCACACACTACATCATGTACTCCAACTTCAAGTCATACCACCACCTGCTGATCGACTCAGGAGCGTCTACACACGTTTGCCCGAAGGACTACGCACCAGACCTACCGCTACGACCTTGTGAAGAATCGGTTCCACAACTCTACACGGTTACCAACAAGAAGATTCCTGTCTACGGCATCAAGTACGTTCCCTACAAGCAGGACAACTTCAGGATCATGATACCCTACTACGTTTGTGATGTGAAGTACCCAATCCTCAGTGCATCAAGACTACTTGATAGAGGATATGGACTTGACTTCACTCCACGACACTGCACCATCACACATGGACAACAACAAGCACACCTCATCAGACACTCAGGACTTTTCTACCTACGAGCAGAGAAGATCGACATCCCTACAGGATTCGACATCTATCCAATGACTACAGACAGTGGAAAATCCATTGCTGTGATTCAACCTACAGAGAGAGCAGCACAACAACAAGAACAAATCGCACCACTCACACACACACAGACCAAGGACTACGACAGATCCTTGGTGGAAACACTGACTACTGGAAACTTGATGGTGACTACGCCATCAGAGTACACAAACGACCACGCAAAGCACTATTCACACCACACAACAGTGGTTGCCCAATACCTGAAGAAGAACTAGATGATTGGCGACTAACCATCATCAACAGACAAGGGCAAGAGCAAGAACAACTACAAGAGAACCCAACACAACTTTCCAAGCAAGAACTACAACGAAGACTAGAAGGTGACAACTGGACTGGAGAAACCAGATTCAGAAGAAAGATAACACCTACACGCAGAGCAACATCAAAGACAACACCAACAAGGCAGAGCTCACAACCACAACGGCTAATGGACACACCACCAACCAGATCAAAGATCCAACTACGAGCACCACAAAAGATATGGAGACCTAAAGCAGCACCTTCTACAAATCTTGACACCGCACAACCAAAGGAGACAATCCACAGACCACTCACAGCACAGGAGGACAACCAAGACTACTGGGAGACAAGGTGAACACTGGATAAGACACCACACATCACTTAGAACAACTCTATTCACTCCAACAGATGGACCAGGACATCCACCAATCAGCACACTCGAACCGCACAGAACTACAATCACTCACAACAACTTTGGAGAAGTTTCCCAACGCAAACATGACTGGACAGTCATGGGCAACGCAGCACTACCATTTCAATGGAAAGGAACAACAAGGTTCACCGTGAAGAAAGACTACGAGTACATCCAGGAGAACCACGATGAGGAACAACAACACGAGCATCATGAAGCACACAGAGCAATAGGACTACGACAACCTCAGCAGCCCACTCCACAACAAATAGCAGAACACAACTTGACACACCTACCATTCAGAAATTGGTGTCCAATTTGCGTTCAAGGCAAAGGACGCCAGGACAACTACAAGAAACAACAATCACGACAACCCATCATCCAAGTGGATTTTGCCTACATCAAATCACAACAAGGTCCGAAGACCATACCAGTCTTAACAGCAGTTGATGTTACTACACAACTGTGCATGGCGGTATTGGTTCCGGACAAACCATCAATGATGGACTACATGATCAACACCCTACAAGCATTCATCTTTGAATGCGGAAGAACACACGGCATACTACAAAGCGACAACGAAGACACACTCAATGCACTACTACAAGCAACAGCATCTAAAGTCGGCTCAATGACTGTACGACATTCACCATCCTACAGCAGCAACAGTCAAGGAAGCGTTGAGCGACTACATAGAACACTTCTCGGACAAATCCGCATCGTCAAAGCTCAGGTTGAAAGCAACTACAGCATGACGATGTCCACAAAGCACTGTCTACTACCTTGGATAGTACGACACGCAGCATGGACGGTAAATCGCTACGTCATTCACTCAGACGGCTACACAAGCTTCGAACGCCGCTGGGGAAGCAACACAAGAAACTCCCAAAAGCAGACCTACGGATGCAGAAATGCATCTGGCTCGGAAAAGTTTCCGAAACCGGAGAAAACCACGTCGCAACGGAGTCAGGCGTACAAAAGGTACGAACAGTGCGGAGACTACAGCCGGACTTCAAATACGACCTCGCACTATTGAACAAAGTTTCCGGCACACCGTGGGCACCACGACGGAACACCTACAACCCATCGTTCGCAACACTGTTGGATGCGCAACTACCACCGTCAGAGAGAAGAAGGTCCACGCAAGATTTCGGACAACAAACGAGCGCTACGGACGACATCGTTGCGGAACCCGCAACAAAACAACAACGCACCACACCACCTCCACGACTTCCGTCAACATCGACGTCAAGTTCACGACCACTACCGGATAGTCCTATGGCTACTTCACCAACCGGACGACAACATCCACCACTACCAGCACCACCTCGACAAACACTACGACGTTTAACTCCGGAAGAAGTAATGCAACCCACTAAAGCACAGAAGACCTCAAAGGACACTACAATCAGATCAACGGAGCAAGCAGCCAAAGAACCACCACCACTACGACAGAAAATTAACGCAGTGACACTTCCCAACGGCAAATTCATCACACCCTACA